TAGGTATTGAAAAAAATCGAAAATAGAATACCCCCTTAAGAACATATCCTTCAGGGATTTTTAAAAATTAAAAGTATTTTAATATCTACAGTTACTTTAGTGACGCAGTACATAGCCCGGTAGGTAGGTAGACTCACTTTTTAAACATGTTTTCTCGAAACTACTTTTTTACACACGGTACCGGCATTATCTCAAGTTCTATTCAACCGATTTACTTGAAATTTTGTGTGAACCTTCTTTATATAATCCTTTATCCTTTATATTTATATAATCCTTAATCCTTTGTTTTTAATATTTAAAAAAAATTCAGGAATTTCAAAAAAAGTGTAAAAAATGATTTTTATTTCCAAGCAGTCGCCATTCTTCAAAAAAATTTTTTTTCGTGTTCCCTGAAATAGGGACAGCATCCTTGCTGATTAAGAATTTCTTTTGGTTTTTTTTTCATACCACCATGAGATTAAGGATCAATGTCACCAGGATGCGCCATTTTTTTACACCTGTCTCTGCCCCCCTCTAATTATTTGAATTTTTAATATTTTTTTGTAAAATTTTTTTTCTGTATTCTTAATATATCAATAAAAACGCCATAAAAAACTGGATGGTAAAAATATTTATATTTATAGTAGAATACCCACTTAACGCCTTTGGTAGAGCTTATATCAAATACATCTAATTTTAGTTGATAAAGTTGTCGTATTCCAGCAATTTCATCCATAGAAGGTACATAATATTATCCTGGAAGCCTAATATTACAAAGCGAAAATGGCGAAGTCGGATTACAATCACGAAAATTTCTTATATAACACGATTCCATCGGACTTATGCTTTACAATATACAAATCAAACACCATTTGATTTAAGGATATATGCTTTGTTATTGGGTAAGTGAATTCCCATATTACTTGACCTAAATCGTAGTCCACTAATAAAATCAAGCATTGATTCCAACCCAGTCCGGGAGGAAGTTTTTTGCTGCGTTTACGCCATAAGGCTACATTGAAACGCCACGTCAGTGAGGTGGAATACATGCAATGGATTAAGCCATCTTAAGACCTGCTCAAGCCTTAAGACTCATGAGAGAGGACCACAAGTTACTGCAACGGAATCCAGAATAAGATTGAAGAGATAGTTGTACTAACGAATCGGGAAAGCGTATCGATAGCTGCGGTCCAAGAAAGCACTCTAAACAACCGCTCAGATCTTCTCATTGGTGGCGGTTTCAACGTAACACGTAAAGATCGCGAGCGAGAAAATGGTGGAGGCTTAGCCTTCATATTGCACAACACTGCGCAATATCGTCTAATCGATGAAAACATCGACTGCAGGGTTACTACCCTACAATATCAGGGTATAGCTCTCTGGTCAAGCGATGTCGAGTTGGAAACATTTAATATGTATATCCCCGCAGTTGATGCCCCAATATCGGTGCGCTACTTTGTGGTGAAACCCGTTAGGTACTAGGCGACTTTACCGCGCACCATGGTCCTTACCATTCCTGCGTGTCAAACGATCGTAGGGGTATGGAGCTGACAGAACAGATAGGCTATTCAACATTTTGTACAATAAATGATGAAGCCTCCACCAGAATTATGGGTACCTGTAAAATCTGGTGGTCTGATAAATAGCATATCCTCTCGCATCAGACCATTTGTTCGAAATTATCTCGATCGAGAAGCCTCCCGCCTTTATGTCTATGAAAAATTGCACTTTCGTTTACTTTAGTAAAGCTAACTGCGTTGGCTTCACAGAACTTACCGAGAGCATCTTCACTGTTGTACCCATTCTTACGGACGTAATCGTTGGCGAACGTCGATTTCGCAAGGTCATCGCAGCACCTACCGCTAGCTTCATCCTGATCCCGTCCTAATTTCCTAGCCGAAGCAGTTGTTTCAGCTAACGAGCGATACAACTTACGCCATGCCGATTCCGGTGATCTCCGAATAAAGGCTCTCAATTTGGAGATTCGGCAAATGGTAAATCAACACAAGCGGACGAAATGGATAGAGAACTTGAAATCTTATCCTCTCCACCAGCGCGAGTATGCTTTGGAATAATGTGTAGGCTTTATCTGATCCAAAGAGACATCATGACCGATTTGAGATTCCATGGAATGGACCGAGGAAGGGTGCGATCTATTTTAGTCGGCAATTTACGCTGCACCTTTCGGTAGACAAAACTGCGGGCCACTTAATTTCACAGATGAAGAGGTTCAGATTACCACCAACAACGAAATCGTCCATTGGTCCTGATGGAATCTACTTGCTTATGCTAAAGCATCTGCGGAAGTTCTATCGTCCGATAATTCTCCTCTCCCTTGTAGTGAAGACACTTGAGACCTTGTTACTACCGACTTTCGCTCACCACCTGAGCCTAGTTAACCTCCAGCATGCATTACGAAAAGTCCACAACACCACCACAGCACTTAGCATCATAAACACTCGAATAGTTCGTTGCCTCAACCACTGAACAAAATACGCTTCCTCCAGGACTGAAGAGGTGGACCATGAACTACCTGTCGCTAATCATACGTTCTTTTTCGAAGAGAAAAATCCAAACTGCGAAGCATTAAACAAAGGGTTCCGCAGAGGGGTGTCCTCTCCACTCTCCTGTTTAACTTCTACGTCTCGAAACTCGCACGATCACCACAGGGAGCTTCTATAACCTTGTACGCTGATGATGGCACGATATTGACGTCGGGCAATGGAATCAATGGCAAGAATTCAAAGGTAAACGGCTATATTCTGAGCTTTCTCGCTTCTTCTCTGCACGGAACTTACCACTCTCCCCCACCAAATCCACGGCGACCATATTTACGAACTGGACGAAGGACTACAGACTTAATATTGCAGTTCATGCCCTAAGATTTTAGATGTAACTTTTGATAGTATATGTTCCTTCACTTCTCATCCGACCGCGACTATCTCCAAGATAGCTTGCTACAGAGCCGCAGCAAAATCCTCAAGTCGCTAGCCGCCAACACATGAGAAAAGGTCAAAGAAACTAACGCAGGTGAAGAAGCTTCAGACTTGTCAGAACACTGCACTCCGGACTACGGCAAGATGCCTCTTGATGTCTCCCACGGTCATTCGCAGCGGAGCCATCAACACCTTCACCGACACCTTTCCAATGAATGGTGTTGTTGGAGTCAATCTACAATTGAGAGTGACCCTTTGGCAGCTTCTTTCTGGATATTATAGCAGGCTAAATTCCTAATTATCCAGAATAGACCCCGACATATCAAGCACATGTCCTGCGTGTAATAAATCTCTGGATGACACTGGCCACCTCTTTGCATGCCTCCAACCCGACTCATCTAACGCCCCTTTCCCTTAAGTCCGACCCCATTGAAACAGCATGTTGCTTTGGCCTCCCATCACAAGACGTCGACGTCAACCTGGATAATCCTTACCATCCTAACGGGGATTAGATAACCGTTAGAACAACCACAACAAGATTAAACTTTCGGCAAACAGTGCGTTTGAATTGCAGCTCTTCAGCAATAGAAGTCAAAACTTATTGCTGAGTTCAATTTGTAAGATATATATGTTAAACATATTTTTCCCGAAAATAATATGTTCCTGTGCTAAAACTGTAGCAAAATCGGATCAGTATTTACCCTAACCGCCAATTACTTAATATATGAATTCACAAATTTCCCTGAACTTACTTTTTAAGATACTACTGTGGGCAAAAATTTCTTAGACTTTTGAATTTAAAATTCGAGCGAAAACATATTCGCCGGAATATATTTTTTTTTCTAGGCTGATATGATTGTCAGTGACACCTGTGTCAAATGTCACATCAAAATAAAGATTAATGTTCAGTATATGCTTTTCTTTCTGAAGTACATAAAGTACATTCGGCGATATTTATGATGAGTGAAATATTTCGACAAAGTGTCATTAAATCATCAGTGACACCTGTGTGAAATGTCATATCAAAATAAAGATTAGTGTTCAGTATACGCTTTTATTTCTGAAGTACATAAAGTACATTCGGCGGTATTTATGATGAGTGAAATGCTTCAACAAAGTGTCATTAACTTTTGTGCACGGAATCAAATTTCTGGTACCAAAATGTTCACAATATTGGAATAGATCTTCGGTGACAGTTTTTGTCGGGTTTTTGATTGGTACAAATTATTTATTATTTAAAGAGCGTCGAGAAGCTCCGGGAAAAGCGTGTTTAGTTTATTGAAGACATTAAACATGAATCATTGAAGGTTATTTCGGAATTTTTTTTGCTCATGCATTTATGACGAATATATTGGTAAAAATTGTGACATAACTGAAAAACTTGGGTTTCTGCCTGTGTTATATTGCAAATGAAAATATTGAAAAGTAATAATATTAAAGCGTGAAAATTATTTTATATTCAATTCTTGTGCAAATTTTGCCTCTGCTATTTTATATAAATTTTTCTTAGTATTTTCCCCTTTTTTAATTTCAAGTTTCGTACTTTTCTTACTATGTGTAAAAGTTTTAGAAATTTTGAAAATCAAGAGCACAGAAAAATGTTTTGCGAGAAACAAATTTTTGAATGCAAATTTTGGATGGAATAACATAATAATATATTTGCGTAATGGGAATTTAAATTTTCTATTTACGCCTGTGAACATTTACCGTTGATGATATTGTTTATACTTAAAAAATGTATTCCCCGTGTATATCTTGATCGATGCTTAAAACGGTACCTATCCATAGATAAATGTAATTTCTTCCAAACCAAGTTTTTTACTACAGAGTATTCAAATAAACAACACATCTAGCACAGGTAAGTTTCACACTGATGATTATGCGCCATATTTAAAATAAAAAACTTGATTATCAAACGGTATTAGCTTAATAGAAATAGGAGTATATTATATACAGAATATTATATACATATTTGTAGTTACTATTTGTTTTAATTTCAAGTTTTAATTTCTTCCGTTACATTTAAAATCCTTATTAACTTGATAACGACTGCACTATGTATAAAAAATGTTTCCGGAAACTCACCCGTAAGAGATTTAGAGGAATACCAACTCTTGTCAACTGCATCAATCTTTCCTCTTTCTTGATTATCAATACTAAGTTGTTCGTCAGGACTGATGTTTTTATCCATTTGTCCAGGCAGAGATATTTTAAATTGGGTAGATAACCCATTGAAAGTATCGGTGGAATCTTCTTGGAACACTTTTGTTTGTCGAATAATATTTTGCTTGTAACAAGTATCACTGTTGCTACAGTTATAAATATATTGTTTTTGTGATTGGATCCGCGAACAAAAATCAATTTTCGAGATGACATTTTCGTTGGGTTTCTTTATAACGGTTACAGTGGTATCTGCATAAGTGATTGTTTTTCTTGCATGAGAGATGTCTGTTATAGCGTCACTATTATGATTTACAACTTCATTCGTTGAATGATTAGTAACATTGTTTTCACTGGATGTATCGGTAATTGTACCTTCAACAGTATTTGTGATTATCTTATTTACTGCAGTTATGTCGTGGTGGTTGAGTATATGCGATAGATTACTTGCTGAGTGAGAGTTCATAGTTTGTTCTTGCGTACCAACCATTTTATTGGAGTGGGCATAGATTATGATTAAAAAAGCTAATATTGAAAATGCGAAGATTTTAAAATTTAAAATATGAAGCTTCCTATATAATTTAGCGTTGATGTATATTGCTTAGTTCTTCAATCACCTTTTATGTTTGTCTATTATTTGAAACAAGATAGATTTAATGACAAAAAAATTTACGGAATACTCTTTATATAGGTGACGCTATTGCAGAAGTCATGAACATTTTTTCAGAAAAAGATTAATTTTGCCAATTTTAAAATATTCCTGTCTTTTTGGATGTGAATCTTTGCAATTATCATTAGTTTCTGATAATTCCCTATCTGTTTCAAACAAATATTTCAGAATACAGGTCGTACTTTCTTTAAACTTAAAAACATCTATACTAGTCACTATACCTTTGAAAGCAACCCAAATATTACATTTTATACCACAAGATTGTTTGATTTATTGTTTTTGGACGCCGCTTTTTCTCTCTCTTTCATCTGAAGAAGTTATATAAAGTCAACGACAAATCAGCTTAAATAGCGTTCTTTATTTCCCTGATTGTTATTATTTACATACTGTAACATGTATTTCATTCAAGTTACTAGCCAATCAACTTCTGTGTTTGACATCTCACTTTTCGTAATTTATTGAATTTCACATTTTTTCGCATTATTCCTTGTTTATGGAATCGGCAGTACAATTAGTACAAGTGTGTAAGTTTTGAATTTACAACTGACGCTTATAGTTTGTACATTGAGATAGTTTATTTTCTTCAGCTGTCCTAATTTGTGTAGAAATAAATATAAACTTTCGCAAGCAATTAGATCAGTAATTTGACTCTTCAAAATATAGATGTTAATACGCGACGAATTTCATTATAATGCTGACCTGAAAATGTATGTAAAAGTTTACTTCGTAAGTTATAATATGCAAATATGTTTATCATAAAAACAAGAAAAACATTAACGTCGAATGCACCGAAACTAAGATACTCTTAACAAATTCAAAAAAATCCTAACAAAAACTCGATTTGATTAGTCAGTTTATATGACAGTTGGATGCTAAAATGATCCGTTCTGAACAATATTTTCGGAGATTGCAGCTTGCCTTGGGAAATAGCGCACGCCAAATTTTATTTATATTTAGATTTTATCTCGTCTGTTTTAGTAAGTTTTTCTTACTGAGGGACAACTTCGTGTAAACACAGCGAGACGGATATGGCTAAATCGACTCAGCGCGTTGTTGATCATTTATATATAATATATTTTTTTATAGGGTTTCCAGTGTCTCCTTTAGGGTATTACAAACTTCGTGACAAACTTAATATACCTTGCTCAGAGTATAAATGGGGGTTTGTTGAGTGAGTATAAATCCCCTACAAGTACGTAAATATAATTTAATAAATGTATAGTTATGACAACCATTTCATCATTCGTAACCAAAAAAATATCATACTTCGTACTATTTACAATTTTATTTGTTGAATATAATATTAATATACATTGACTTTACATCGAAAGATTATTTTTTATCAAAGCTTCTATAACTTTATTGGAGTTACTTCCTAATGTTCCATTTAGTCAAAATAACTAGTACTAACAACAGAAAAATGCAATCAAGTTGTAACAATGCAACGGGCTCTTAAGTATGGTTTTTTGTCGTCTTCCTTTTTAACTACATGAATATTTATTCAAACTGTTCGATGATTTTGCAGAGTAGTGTAATTTCATTTTTTCCATTGTTTTGCTAACCTTGGTTGCTTCACTTCAAATATTAAACAAATTGAAGAATAATAAAAAAACAATAAAGCTAATTAAATTAAATGTTTATTGTTCGCTTGAATTGTTCATACAATTGAGAATTTTTCCTTTCTACTTAAAAACTGTGGTTTCGAACTAAAAATTGTCCCCTTCAAAGTAATCCCCCTCAGATGTAATACACTTGTACCAGTGTTTTTTCAATCCTCGAAAAAGTTCTAATATGAAATGAACTTTTTGGTACATATGTCCTTGAGCTCTCTCAGTATTTGATTTGTAATACCATATGCTGACGAACTATGTAATATTATCCTATAGTACATCTGGTATTGGACTAAAATTAATAGACATGCCATCTAGTAATACATATTTTATTCTGATTTTATTTCTGTATATTCATCGCTTATATATTATTTTAGGATCTATATTATTTAAATACATTTATGAGAATCTCTGTATATTTGTATTCATTATTATATGACATCTGGTTGTTTTGAAAGAAACAACTCAATGCATCTGCGTTCGTATGTTTTTAATATATCATTTGATATAGTACATAAGTTTCTCAAGAGTAAAACCTTATTTATAATTTTGTTCTTGGGTATACCATTTTACCAATGTATACAATTTTAATAGACAGAGTTACATATTTATACTCTCGCAACAAAGTTGCTAAAGAGAGTATTATAGTTTTGTTCACATAACGGTTGTTTGTAAGTCCTAAAACTAAAAGAGTCAGATATAGGGTTATACATATATACCAAAGTGATCAGGGTGACGATTAGAGTTGAAATCCGGATGTCTGTCTGTCCGTCCGTCCGTCTGTCCGTGCAAGCTGTAACTTGAGTAAAAATGGAGATATCATGATGAAACTTGGTACACGTATTATTGGCTCTATAAGAAGGTTAAGTCCGAAGATGGGAAAAATCGGCCAGCTGCCACGCCCACAAAATGGCGGAAACCGAAAACTTATAAAGTGTCATAACTAAGCCATAAATAAAGATATTAAAATGAAATTTGGCACAAAGGATCACATTAGGGAGGGGCATATTTGGACGTACCTTTTTTGGAAAAGTGGGCGTGGCCCCGCCCCCTACTAACTTTCTTGTACATTACTGGAAAACTACTATAGCTATGTCAACCAAACTCTATAGAGTCGTTTCCCTCCGGCATTTCCATGTACAGTTCAAAAATGGAAGAAATCGGATAATAACCACGCCCAGCAAAAGGTTATGTTGAAAATCACTAAAAGTGCGTTAACCGACTAACAAAAAACGTCAGAAACACTCAATTTTACGGAAGAAATGTCAGAGGGAAGCTGCATCCAGGATTTTTTTAAAAATAGAAAATGGGTGTGGCGTCGCCCACTTATGGACCAAAAACCATATCTCAGGAAGTACTCGACGGATTTCAATGAAATTTGGTACGTAATATTTTCTTAACACCCTGATGACATGTACGATATGGGTGAAATCGGTTCACAACCACGCCTGAAATCTCGATTATCGCTTTATCATGCGAGAGTATAAAATGTTCGGTGACACCCGAACTTAACCATTCCCTACTTGTTTTACTAATATTTAAGCTAATAAATATTATCTATGCTGGGGTGTTTTCGTCCACTCGGACGACATGTCCTAGAAAAGTCGTAGTATATCTCGTAAACCTCATAGTTGCATCAAATGCGATATTTACCATTTCCTTTCTCTCGAAAACTCGTAGCGTTGACTCAGCAGATGTTCTCATCGTCCATGCCTCTGCACCGTCCGGGGTGACTGACAGTACTCAGCGACGGAGTCTCTCTTCTACTACGATTTCCACTCCAAATTTGTGCTCCTTTATATGTCCACTGTAGTAAATACCACAAGGACCTAATCGTCTCAGTCCTTGTCCCGTCCATCGCATTTTTTGGAAGCCGGCGATGTCAGCCTTCACTCTAACGAGGACATCAACCAGGTGGGCAGCGGCACCTTCCCAATTAAGGGACCGGACATTCCAGATGCATACCCTTAGATTATAGTCCTTAATTCCTTAGCCATGGTCGTCATCAAAAGCGGGCTTACTCATCCGAGGCTTGTTGTTCTTCATTGGGTGCGTTTTTTACGTGGCGGGTCCCAAACCCAGGGGATATTTCGCCTTCTGACATTGGCCCGCCTTCAAACAGACGTTCCTAGGGTTCCCAGAGGATACTTGGTCAAAGACCGGAAGTCATGAGCTCTTTGATTCATATGTAAAAGAATCGTTTCTGGCCACTCCCAAATGAATGGCGATCAGAGAACTTTCATCACTTGCGTGAACTTCTACACATGACTTCATCTTCCCGCATGAAAACACTGAAGCTCTGAAAGTATTAGACGCAGTACCCGCCGTTGGAAGGACCAGGAAGAGAAGGACCTGGCTCGTTTGGAATATCCACTTGGCGCCACGTAGCGAAAAGAAAAAGCAAATGGCGCGCTGTTATTAACTCGGCTATAAACGCGTAAGCGGTGTGTACGCCAGCAAAGAAGACCCGTATTATCAGCAAAAACAATTTCAGCGTCCGAGTCGAACGCAGTATAACTCTTGCCAACAGGTGCTACTTTGGATTGAATAAGCACTTCAGAAGTAAAGTCCTCTCTTGACGAACAAAAATCAAACTCTATAAGTCACTCATAATTCCCGTCCTGCTATAAGGTGCAAAGGCTTGGACGACGACAACAACTGATGAGTCGACGTTGCGAGTTTTCGAGAGAGAGTTCTGCGAAAGATTTATGGTAATTTGCGCGTTGGCCACGGCGAATATCGCGTTCGATGGAACGATGAGCTGTATGAGATATATGACGACATTGACATCGTTCAGCGAATTAAAAGACAGCGGCTACGCTGGCTAAGTAATGTTGTCCGAATGGACGAAAACGCTCCAACTCTGCAGGTGTTCGACGCTATACCCGCCGGGAGAAGCAGAGGAAGACCTCCACTCCGTTGGAAGGATCAGGGGGAGAAGAACCGGGCTACGCTTGGAATATCCAATTGGCGCCACGTAGCGAAAATAAGAAACGACTGGCGCGCTGTTGTTAACTCGGCTATAATCGCGTAAGCGGTGCTTACGCCAATTAAAAAGAAAAAGAAGTAATTTAAGAGAATTATTTGATTATTTTTAGTTGCTTTACTACTTACTTACGTACATAGATAATTTCTTTAGCACTTACACCTTAGCACCCACTCCGGAATAAAACCTTTTTTTGTTATGGCCAAAAGATTGCTTTTTAATTCGTTAGGATATTCACAAGTTGTACAAAGGGGTTTACGCGTTTAAAATATTTTAAGTATAATGTTAAAGAAAAAAATCTCCTTGTTCGGATACCAATGGAGGCAATGGAGGCTGCATCAAGTGTATATAAGAAAAAATCGAAATTATATTGGATGAACTGTTGCGCGTCGAAGATCAACTGATGAGGCAAGACGTTTGGAGAAAAAACCGAGAAAATCTGCTGCACGCCGAAAATAGCCAAACAAAAACGTCCGCTGTTGTGTGTCGCTCGTAGATCATGGTCGAAAAAAGGGCCGGCCTCTTCCAGGACGAGGGTTTTTGCTCGTTTTGGTGTATGAGGGCGGGAAATTTAACTCATTTTGCCATCCCGGCCCCCCTAAGCGAATGTTTAGCCTAGCAATCGCTGGAGTTGTTGCAACGGACGCGCGCCGGTAGGGTGGCCTTTGACGATGGCGCCTAGTGGGTGCTGCGTTTCGTGGACGCCATAGACGGAACTCAGGGGGTGGTACCGGTCTTCGTCGTCGTGCCACACGGTTGGTTTGCTGCGGTCTGCGAGTGGCAGGAGGGGAGTGGCGTCTTGGAGTGCGGTGGAGCAGCGTGTGATGCTGCCTGCCACACTTTTGGCACAAAGCCCCAGAGTCACAGTCCTCAGTCGCTTGCGTGGATGCCAGACAATTGTTGTAATGCCCATGCGCCTGCGCTACCTGCTGCCGCTGGATGGGTGGCATGCCCTTGCAGAGTCCACAGTTTTGCAGTCGGTGGGGGCGGCGACAAAGGGGGCATCGTAAGCGATGCGGCTTCGCTGGTGGTGCCGGTGTGGTTACAAGTGCTCGTGTGCTATTACGAGCTGCAGTTGACGGTGCTGTTGCGGTGATTGTACG